TAGTTTTATTTTATAATATTTTTATGTTTGTTTGTTTTTTTTATTTTTCCGTGAATTCCAAAACATTCAATAAATCCACCCTTATTTAAAAAGAAATAAGGGAAGACAACATGATTTATTCAATTCTATACATAAAAGAGCTATTCCCAAAAATCCTCAAAATACAATAAATCCGCCCTTATTTAAGAAGTTTTTGCTGAGAACCTACTTGCAGGTTTATGTGCAGTTCATTATTTATAAGAACTTCTATGTGTTACGCCGCAAAATGTAATAATCGCCACAAAATGTAATAGTGCTTCTTTTGTATTTAACTGAGACCATCACAGCATTCCGTGTTCTGTGGTTGTGTGAAATCATTGTAATGAATTACATAACAACCACCTCAGTTTCTAAAGCTAGCGGAGACGCTAACGAACTTCCTTTAGTGTGTACAATAAACATTCAAATATATTTTGTGATGGGTAATGTGGATTCTGCGGAAGTATTGGTGTTACTTCTGTGTTTGATTAAGACTTTGCATTCTGTGGTTGTGTCATATCATGATTGTGGAAACAACAATCACCTCATTTTCAATGACTCGTAGAAAATTAACAAAGTTCCTTTCATATGAGGTACAAAAATATACAAAAAAATATCAAGCTTAAATGTTTTCCTCTATTCAGTGCAGTCCTAAGCGTAAAATTGAACAAAATACCTCACTTTTTTCACGTGGATACATGAATGATATTTAGGCTCACACTTTGCTGCTATATAAAGGCCATCTGATGCAAGCCATTTCATATCACTCCAGGATGTAGACAGCTACAAATCCGTGTCGTCAACTTAATAGCGAACCAATCAAGGGAGCTGCCTCATGTTATTTGAGTCCAATAATTCATGGTAAATGTAGCATAATCAGTGCTCGATATATCGCCAATGTGAAACGACTAGGACTGGCAAAAGCCCGGAAAGATGTTTGCCACATGCGAAACAACTGCGACAATGCGGTGTCTGGTAAGAAATGCTTTGGTTCATTGTTAACATATACAAACACTTATTCCTACCTCAAGGAAAATGTAACTCTATTTTTAGGTTCAACGTTCCATTTTGATTTCATCTTTATCTTTTTTCTAGGAATAAAGAACGTGGCATTCTTTTTTAGCGCCGTAGCAACACAAGAAAATAGAAAACTCAAAAGCCATGCAACAAAAATCAAAGGCAGAGTAGACGATGAAGATAGCGGAGGAAAGTAATGTCGAAACTTTGACTTCTAGTCAGGTTGCAGGTACTATTAGCCAAAAATGGATTGCTGAACATCGCTCTATAGTGGATAAAAAGCTCTCTCCGGCAGTAGTATATTGGATTGCGTTGACCACACCCAACGGGGTTCCTGCCAATCCCCTCACAGTCCATCGAACCCTTCACGAATGTGGGGTAGAAACGCTGGCACATCAGGTACGGCAAATTTTATCTCAGTCATATTTGATTTCATACAAAACGCTAAAAGATCACAAAAATGGCTTTATGCAGGATTTAATTCGCACCTCTTACCAATCAAGCTATCGAAACGAAGTGCATCAATTTATTGAAGAACCAGATGAAATCGATCTCGACGAGTGTGGAGTGGAGTTGGTTGTGAGAGTGGTTCTAGTGAAGCAGTCGTTTTTCAGCCTTCCTTGTCGGCAGCAATGTCCAAAATTGAAGACGCCAAATTGCATATCGATCGATTTGTCTTCAATGGCGCTCGTGTGGACAATGCTGAAAACCGCGGCAAGAAAGAAGAACCCCAGAGATCATCGGGCAATCTCACGGTATTGATAAATGACATCGGAATTTCCATGAAGAAGTTGTACTACGTACTTCATAGAGGGAAAATATACAAGAAAAAGCCAGCTTCCCGGTGTACCTACCAGTACAATTGTGATCCGCGAGCATTTATCAATATCCTGGCCGCAAATGAACAATTTAAAGGACGCCTGCTCAAAGACATGAAGCGCGTAATCGATATACTCTCAGATCCTTACTGAGAAAGTTATTCGGCCAATCACCATCGACTATAATCTTATCGAGGTCCACGAAGGGCAGCGCTGGTCGATAAGAGAACGGCGTTTTCTCTAAGAAGTCATACAGGAAAGCGTCATTGGAACTGTAACGCCCAGACCGTTTTGTCCTTATGACCCAAGACACCCCTGCAGCGCCAGTATTACAAAGAAATAGAAATACTAGTACTCCAAAACAGTCTGAACGAGAATGAGGTCGCCTCATTCTGCGAGGATTTTCTTAAACTGCTCAACTTCAACAAAACGAAGCACAAACACAAAGTACTATACCTAGCGGGACACTAACAACGGATCGAAAGACATGCATGTCTTTTCTTGCCCGTTTTGGGTATCATTCATTACAGCGACGTGGCAATCTTTACCAAACAAAAAGTGTTCAACAAAGCGATGATATCCCACAACACTGAGGTAATATTCATTGACGAAGCGACTGAATCAAACCTTGACATGGACGACTGCAAAATACTCACACAGGGAGGCTATGCGGCATATGAAGTGAAACACCGGACAGCCAAATACTTCATAAATCGTTGTCCAATGATCATAAGAGCGTAAAGAAAACTCCAATTCAAGCCGGAAAACCAACTGGCCATGGAAAGAAGACTTCGCAATTATTTTTTCAAGAGTCTGCAAAATCCGAAGAAGAGGGCTGCAGTTTGGTTAGGTAGCCACCCAATCGACTACATTGTTTGGGCAGCCGAAAGAGCACGCGACGACGAAGAAAGGAATAGTTGTGACGAGGAAGCTGAGGAAGATTGCTGTCAGTTGATGAGCGAAGGTCTGTTACCAGAATGCAACAAAGAGGCCTTGAGAACTTTGTCATTGGTAGAAGACGAGGATTCCGAATTGGCGCAATTTGGAGGGAAGACGAGAACGCTAATGAAGTAACACAAGATGAAGAACAACCTGTTTGCGCCTTAGAAAAAGCGCTGCATAAGTGCGTACCCGATTCTCGGCGCCACAGACAGGTAGTGCACCTTCTCCACCTGCTAGAGCAGCAAGAGAAAGAGAAGAGAGAACAAGAAGACTACTGGTACGACAAGAAAAAAGAAATCCTGATTTCAAAAGGTGTCTCCCCAGAAACTGAAGAACTACTTGTAGTTGGCCTTTGTTTTGAATTTTTTCTGGTCAATAAATCCGCCCTTTTTCTTAGCTCCTTCAACCATGTCCATGGGCAAATATTGATGGGTCATCGGCCGAGATCTCTTGACTTTTATGAATAAGAACACGCCCACAAACTTGGTGGCAAAAGACAAATCTGAAGGAGATACCGTGCCTGACGTTTCTTTGCACATCTTGATCACGCTCTCGAAACGAGGCAGGTTGTTCGAGACCACTTTTAGCAGTTCATCTAATGTAGCCGCATGTCCCTTTGACTCTAGAGTGTCGATGTCTAAGTCGTTGGTCCATTGAAGCCTCATCATTTTAGAAACTGTCTTGCGAGCCCTTTTCAAGTAGACCTCGTGGAATTTAGGTTGTACTATACTGAATCTGGGGCACCGAGTGTTTTACTAAAATCGACCAAGTCGGCAATGGAGTCCAAGTACGCTAGGCGACCGGCATGGCCCAAACCCCAATCACTTTGCATTGCATCGACATATCGAAACAGAAAGTC